ATTCAAAATTATGGGCTGCCAACGTCGCACCAAGGGGTTCCTCCTCTTCCTGCATCTTCTGGACATCACCCTGACATTCAGGCGCCGATAGATATTGTACAAGACAAATGGAGAGCGTAGGTAGGTCAAGCCGAGCAAGGGTTCTCTGTCCTAGGCTACGTTGTCGAATAACCTTGGAGTTTGCCTTGAACCTTTCTAAGCTAGGCGACTTAGGTTTTCGAGCTTACAAGCAATTGGATGCCAATGAGCAATGGTGAGGTAGCGAGGTAGTAGCAGGTAGTAGCAAGCAGCAAGGAAGCAACAAGGAAGTGTGGGGGGAGGGCGGACGTGCAAGCGTACCGGCCTTGGACGTCGAAAGGATTTTCGAAAGAGCCATTCGATAATTCTAGGATGAAAAGACCCGCCCCTGGTAAAGGGTTGCAAGTTGTTTGGCCGTGTGGGAATGTCTCCCGAGTTGATGCGCTGGCAGGCTGGCATGCAAGATGATTTGGTGAGAAGTGTTTGGGGGGGACAAGAACTGGTACAGACTTCGATTGCTCTAGATTAACTAACTAAGATTAACGACTAAGGTGACGGCTTCTCTTGGTGCATTAAGTCTGGCAGGTCTAGGGCAGGTCTAGGGGGGGCAAGTTTAGGTGCATTTGGTGCTTGCATTTTAGTGCAAAGGCTGAGGATTACCCTTGCCGACTACCTAAATAAGGCTTACGTAGTTACCTTGTAACTTACCTGCCAGCCTGCTTACCTGGTTTTGTATGGGGGAGTCGCTATCCGGCCAGGTACTGAGCAGTCAGGGCAGTAGTATCTTGGTACGGGTTAGGGCAGGGTCTAGCCTCTATCAGGTGTTGTGCGGGCCTTCTGTCCTCTATGTACCTACCAAAGTAGGCAAGCATGTACATAGGTATCTCTCTAGGATCATGGATCTAAGAATTGTGAACTTCGGGATACGAAAATGTGAAATTTAAGGATGAAGTACAATTTTAGCTGGATCATAACATTAGAATCCTACAAGGCTGTAGATTTCTTAGAGAATATCTATTCTATTTAAGTGGTGGAAAAGTCTGAGTTTTGAGGACCATAAGGGCCGTTTGACTGCATAACGATCGAACCGTCGGAGAATCATCATGCAGATCTATATATGCGTGAAGACATAACAAATCGTGATTGTTGTATAGGATTAATTAAATATATATAGGTACCTACCTAATATCTAATTTAAAAATTAGACAGAATCATGTCAATAATAACATAAGAGTCATAAATATCTGTTTGTGACATAGTTAGACATAGAGCGAGACCTTACATAGATCTTTCCCAAGCTTAAAACATATGTCTTTCTCTTTCCTATAACGTGATTACCTACATATATGTATTTGTGGAAATGTCTTAGTAGGCAGGCTTACATGAAAGTTGAAGATGAACTTTTTAAGCTTAAAATGATCTCAAGCATTTCGCAGTTTACAAGTTACTTGAGTACGTAACGCACAAGCAATAATCTTTATATCCCTCAATATCATGATAGAATAGCTACTAAGCTACCTAGTTCTCAAGCAATTAAATGATCGGAGATGTTGATTACCTATACTCGACGTAATCATTCTCCGTGGCCGGTGGTACTTTTGATATATTGTACCGGTTCCGGTGGGTAGTGGCTTGTTGGTCGCTTGTTGGCCGGAAGAAAACTTTGAAAGATGAAATTGACCAGCTGGCGGTGGGATACGGCATAAGTTCAGACAGGAGTGCATGCAGCTTGCATGATTCCATCGTAACCACTCGCTCAGTCGCATTATCGGAGAACTAAATCAACGGAAAGAAAGCCACAATCTATGATAGACTTGAATACTTTTTCCGACGCCAAAATGGGCTTATACCTACCTAGGTATATGGTCTGATGATGAGAGGGTGGCAAGCCTCATTATTAACGTACATGTGTAAGTGCTGTCATGCTTGTAGATGATTGATGTATCAGGCCGCAATCCTAAGGGAAAAAAGTAAGGGGTAATTCGCAATTGACGACTGACAACTGACCCCTATCAAAAGATGAGATTAACTTAGACCCCTATTGCAACTCTGGCGACTCTGACGACTTTGGAATTGGTAGTCCCCATTCGTCCCCGAGTGTTTTCATCTTGCATGGAAGTATATCTTTCGGATCAATCCAGTGGATAATACAGAGTGGCTCTGGAGATGCTTCAATATGTTGTTTGGCATGTGCATTTTAGATATGACTAGACCCGGTCGGTGATAATTAGCGAACCAATCTAGTATGACAAAGTATGCGAGTTAAATTACAAGTTGTAACTACCAATAGGGCCAGCATGCCGAGCATGTCTAAGGAATAAGTCAAACACCTTTTTTCTCGATGTCCAATGCGAATATATGTAGCAGAGCCCAACCTAGAATTCGGCCAAGCTTAACAAGGAAGAAAGCCGACTGCCGGAAGATATAATTACCTTAAGTACCTACCTATATATGTCATGGAGAAAGATGTCGTGTTTTTTAATTACAGGGTGAATTGTTTACTTAATAACTAAGTTAAAGGTGTTATTTAAGTGAATAGATGTGGTATATATGAGTACTTATTATCGTTATTAAGTTGAACGTGATATATAAGCGAGGGTAAAATAGGTATAGTTACCTGTTAAACTAGATTTGAAGTTCTTATGGAAGATATTATGAGATCAATATGAATGATTAATGCCGCGTAAGAATTGATTATCTCACCTAAGGTAGTATTCCGTACCTAGGTGTAGGTAATATCCACTTTTGAAGGTGGACTAATCTAGGTACCTAATCTCTATTTACCTAGGTACCTAAACTTAGGTACACTAACGCACGGTTGGTCTCCCGTCCGGAGCCGTGCCGGGTGGGTTCGAGTTTCTACATTGGACCTACCTAACTTACCTACCTACATACACCCACCACCTTACCTTAGGTACATTGATCAATTAATACATTAATCAATCAGCACATACCATACCCCCCAATGATACCTACTACATTTGGTACACACCTATATGTACGCAACTCATCACTCATCACGCCAATCGCGTGTGCACGGATTACGTATACGCGTTTGTTCGAACTGTCCTATGAACGAACCCGGAATTGAATTATAGCTATTCCTGACTCCCCTGCTGGTTAGACAACTTAATACGAACGCCACAACTTACATTTTGAAGGCATTATGAGACCATACGATGGCTCATCCAAGGAAGCGGAAGCGAGGAGGCACCCGCAATATCCCTTTAGATGACGAACCACCCGTAAAAAAAGGGAGGATAGGGAGGATAGGGAGGATAGATCCCGAGAGTACTCAACGTCTGGCACCTCCACAAGTTCAACACGCGGTTCTTAATCAATTCTACTCTCAAGTACTGACCTTACGTAATTATGTCCTCTCGAGACTACCTACTACGTCTAGGCTTAGAAGGAAAAAGGTTGCTACCGTCGGCATAGACAACCACATCCCAGACTCACCTCTCTCGGATGTGGAACGGTCTTTAGGGGCTCTGCTTGACGGCACGCTTATTGGCGTACAATCCGAATTGAAACCCCCAGAAGATAACTGTATAGAGGGATGGAAAGCCTTCTCCCAGAAAGGGGATGAGTCCTGCGTCACACTATCTGATGGTGTTACCGGGTTTATCGAGATACAAACACTTGTATGGCCCAGGCTTCTTTCCTAGCAGTTGAATACGATTATCCAACCGTGTCTTACAGGTGAGCTAACATTAAAAAGATTGTAGAATATGTTGTGAGAACGATATTCTCCAGAGATAAGTTTAGCACATGGCCAAAGCATTTACTTTGCGACGGCTACACTAGAAATCGGGGCTTAGGGCTACGTGCATTTCGGCCTAACCCTCATGTCGAGACGCTGAAGCAGTCGCCATGGCCACAGCTTCTCGCCCTAATGGGCGACTCGGGGGAAAGTATTATGATAAGCCTACTCCTCGACTGTGCTATATTTACGCCTGTGAAAATAGGGGCGAATAATTTCTGTCAGATTAGTGGTAAGTGTTATGACTCCGCGGCGAGGGCAAAGCCTAGGTGTTAATTCAAAGTCAGGAAACCCATTGTCAGACGCCGATGTGCTTAATCAAGAGAAGCGACTACCAGGTAGCTCTGCTCCAAAAGCTCTGTCAGATATTATATTCGTCCGTAACCGTATGCTCTACGCTAAAGCCTCTCTTAACGCCCATGGAGTTGTACACTTCGGGTTAAGACATATCCGTAAGATATTACTACTGCGTAGTTTATAGGCTACTAACAGTAGCAGACGTATTAAATCGGTCTTTATATAGCCACCTCGATAAAGCAGAAGAGCACTCAACTGAGGCTAAACAAATGACGCTGCAGAATGAAGCCCACACACTACGAATTATGATGTACATTTTCCCTCGTCAATTTGGGCTTCACAATGTGTTTACTTCCAAAGTCAATTTCAAGGAAACAGCTCATCGGCTCAAGGATTATACCCTTCGAGAAGAGGAAATTTTTGAAAAGTTTGGGCGGCTGAACGAGTCCACTAGCAAGGTCAAGATACCTAAGAGGCTAAGGGGTACCGCGATAGAATTAATACGAAAAGTACAAATCTTACACCAGCGTTGTTCTTACTCGAAAATCCTTCAACATCATTGCCCAGTAAGTCTACGGAGTTGAATTAACACCGACAGCACTAACTTTTCTCAAAGATTCATGCTTCTCTTAGCCACCAAGAGTTTGAGTCTACTGAAACCGGCGCCAGTCGTAAACCCTCACGCAAAGCGCTCGTGTTAAGGAAAAGGAAGGCAACCCAACCCTCCCCCTCGCAAAAAGATGCAATATCATCCGTTTTCGACCTAGCAACTCCACCGACGAAGATCTCTGCCTTCTGCCAGGCTGTTTTAAAGAAGATCATACCTCATGGATTCTGGGGCAGCGGAGACGTTGCTCGACACAACGAGAGCATATTTCTCGGTAAAATACATCATTTCATATTATTAAGGCGTTTCGAAGGCATGTCACTTCACGAAGTGATGCAAGGTATGAAGGTTAGTATTATAGACATGTCTCAACTTCAAAAATGTATCTCTAACGATAAAAGTTGACCGAAATTGACTGGCTTGCGCCACCTCAACTCAGGTCGAACAAAACTTCACAGACCGATCTGCAGAAGCGCCGCGAGCTCTTCAAAGAATTTATCTACTTCGTATTCGACTCTCTTCTAATACCCCTCATTCGAAGTCACTTCTATGTTACGGAGTCAAACGCTCACAAGTATAAGCTGTTTTTTTTTCGCCATGATGTTTGGCGATATATAGCAGAACCCGCAATGACGGCATTAAAAAACAAGATGTTTTCCGAGCTCAACCTCTCCCATGCCCAACAAATCCTCAACTCCCGTGCCCTTGGATTTGGTCAAATTCGCTTGCTGCCGAAGGAGATCGGCATGCGGCCAATCATGAATCTCCGCAAAAGGGTCGCTCTCCGGGGGAAGTCGAAGGCATTAGGAGCCGGAATCAATAGAATTCTAGCACCAGCACACGCAATACTCCAACTAGAAAAGGTATGACCCTTTGTTAATATCAAGTCCAAATTTCTGACCCAAACAGACCATAAACCCACAGAAATTAGGGGCCACCATGTTTTCAGTGGGAGATATTTATAAGCGTGTGAAGCCATTCAAATTGAAGGTCACCCGGCCTGGTGTTGAGTTCTATTTTGCGAAAGTTGATGTTCAGTCTGCTTTCGATACCATCCCCCAGGCGGCAATTGTCAGCTTGCTTGCTTCTATACCCCAACAACGTCGATATCGAGTATCGACGCACGTCGAGGTTGCATCAAACCTGATAAGTCAAGCAGGCAATAAATCTAAATCAAAACCCGTGAAGAGATGGCCTTCTGCGGCAATAAGCGATCGCGACAATTCTACATTCATGCAACATCTAGAATCCAAGTGGGCAACTACTAAAAAGGATACGGTGTTCGTCAACAGGTGGAACAAGTATTATGAAACTAGCGAGTTGCTTCAACTTGTAGCCTCACACATTCAACAAAATCTCGTCAAGATCGGAAAGAAGTTCTATAGACAAAGAGAAGGTATCCCACAAGGATCTATATTGTCTTCTACTCTCTGCAACTACTTCTATGCCGATCTTGAAATTCATATTCTACCTTTCCTCGATTCGGAGGACTGCCTACTCCTACGACTTACTGATGATTTTCTCCTCATCACTATAGACAAGCAGAAAGCTATCCGCTTCGTGAAAACCATGCATCGGGGTGTTCCAGAATATGGAGTGACAGTAAATCCCCGAAAAACTTTGGTTAACTTTGATATGAAGGTCAATGATGAGCCGGTCACAAAGTTAAGTCCTGGCCAACGGTTCCCTTATTGCGGCACTGCGATCGACTGCCAGACTTTGGACATATCTCGTAATCGAGAAAAGGTCCAGGAGACAGGTAAACATCAGGCTAGTTTCTCTCAAGTCCACCAGCTAACATCATCCAGCTATATACAACTCTCTCACAGTCGAGTTCTCGCGTACACCAGGACGAACGTTCCAGCGAAAAGTTCTTAGTAAGACATCTCTCAACCCAATAATACCAGTTTTCGGGCATATGAATTAATACATACCATAGATGCTTTCAGGATCCAAAGTCATCTCATGTTCTTTGATTCGGAGCTTAACTCGGTTAATACCACATTGAATAACATATACACAGCCTTTTGCGAAACAGCTACTAAGATGTGGGCATATGCTCGCTGCTTGTCGGTGCAAAAGCAACCATCGGCAGACCTCGTCATTAGTAAGTTTAAATTAGAGCGGCTGTACTTCATATGCTACTATACTACTTTATGGTATACATCCTGACACCATGTCATAGAGACGATTTCGAGACTGGTCGATACAGCCCATCTGCTCCTCGTAAGCAAAACGCGCAAACTTCGGTACCCGGGCTATACCTGCGATGTGAAGAAGCCCGAGGTAGCTTGGTGAGTTGCGTTCTATTCCGCTACATTTTATATGTTACTAATAGATCTAACCTAGGCTTGCTTTTAACGCCTTCTGCAAAGTATTAGAGCGGAAACAGTCTAAATACAGTACGGTATTGAGCTGGCTAAAGGCCGAGGTTAGAAAACTTAGTGCAAAGAAGGACATCCGCCATGGGCGTGTAACTCATGTCGTTAGCAATCTGCCCTGACCGGGCAATATATTCATGTATTTCTAATTCGCAATTCAAAGCATCCAAGTAGCCAACACAAATTCTAATCAAGATACCTTATTACCCCCAAACCATCTATAGCCAAACCATTCTATATGCATCGTGCCGCGCCGTGCTATCCCCAAGTTAAATTCTAACGCTTAGATTCCAATCCCGCTATCCCACCAATGCTTCCCCCAGTACCACTTCGGCCAGAAATCCCTCTCGTACCTCCACACGCGGCGGTCCTGAGTCGGGCCGTAACCTAGCCACCTGGTTACGGAAACAGGCACCGGCTCGAAGAGCCACAACCCACAACGTCCGAAGTCGTCTATCAGCGCCCAGCTCGTCAGCCACATCCACCCGAGCACAAAAACCAAGTTCCCAAGCCTCCTCACCCACCTCGGCATCCGACGTATCAGCGCCCCGAAAGCAGCGCGCGCCAACCACGTCTGCAGCGCCGACCCCAGGCCCGCGAACATGAAGAACAGCGGTGGAAGCCACCACTTGGACCTCGCAGGCACGGTGCTATAGCTACCGGACGCATGCAAGAAGGCCGACTGCAGAAATGCAAAGGCGAAGGCGGCAGCGCGCTGCGTCGGCGATCCGGGCTTCACGTACCCGTTCGTCTGGAGCCAGCGCGCCGGCGCCGCGAACCCGAACCGGAACGTCTGGTGCCACCAGCTGCCCCAAAAGCCGGGCAGCCCGCGGTCCAGGACCTGGGAGAAGGAGCCGACGGCGGAGGGCAGGTGCCAGGGGTGGGCGCGGAAACGCAGGATCTGCGGGGACGGGGGGACCAGGGCTAGCGATAGGGCGCCGACGGCGAAGGCGAGTTGGAGCGCGGATATCACGCCTAGGAACGAGAGGGCGGTGCGCTGGACGGAAAGGATAGTGGGGGGGAGAGATGCTAGGTGGGGTGGGAGAGGGGCGAGGTCGCTGTGTTCGGGCCCGAGGAGGAAGTACGGGTCGGCGGTCATGTGCACGGCGCAGAGGTCGACGAGGAGGTAGCTCGGGATGATGTCCTGGAAGAGGCGCGCGAGGAAAAAGGATTTGAGGGTGAGTTGTCGCGTGTAGCCTTGCTTGCTGCGCTGAGGGCCGACGACGCTCAGGGGAAGTTGGTACCCGTTGATGGTGGGGGGTAGATGATAGGGTGGTAGACAGGGGATTGCCCAGTTCCAGCCTTTTGGGTAGGGATATCAGTTAGTTAGTTGCTTCTCAGCGAGGAAATGTGAGTTTGGTTGCCTACCTGTCATCCGGAACGAGCTAGCAATGTCGAAGGCCCAGTCTAGCCGAGTCCAGAGAGAAGCATCGGCTGGGTATTCCTGCCAGTAGTATTCGAATTCTTGCTCTGCTTCTAGTTTCTTGAGCTCAATGACTATTTCGTCGTTGGTTTTATATTTCCGCAGTGAAGGTATTGCGTCTAAGAGTAACTTCTTTGATTCCTCTGATAACTCTGTTTGCTCCGGGGATGTCTTCGTGGTGGCAGCGCCATCTATCCTTTCTTTACGACTATGAGCTGATCCATTGCCGTTAAGTTTACATCGGTCTGATTCCAAACTGGTTGAATCTGCAGAACCTGCTTCCCCCTTAGAGCTCTTAGTTGTCTGAGCAGCGTGGCCGTTCTCCGATAATAAAGGCGAAGAAACTCTCGACTCCTTATTCCCAGTGTTTTTTACATCTTGTTGTCTTCTCTTCCTTCTAATCTCCACTCTCTTGGCTTCCCATTGCGGTTTCGTCCAGACGAGCAGGGCGAAATTCCATATGATACCCCAAGCACCGATAAGACCAGCAGCATAAGCAGCGGCGAAGTTCTGGCTTGAGACGTTGAGTATCATATGAAAGTTAAAGGCCACGGTAAAAGCGAGGACAAGCCATCTAGCTCTATATAACCATGGCCGGTTCTTGTGCGGTATAGCAAGATAGATGATGGGTATAAACCAATAACCGATGAAGTATAAAGGGACTAAGAAAGGCTTCTTGATGCCGGCTGAAACGTCCTCTTGAAACTTTGAGAGGTAGAAATGTCGGTAAGCCGATGCTATATCTACACCTTCCTGGGCCATCTCTTAGCGGCCCGGCAAAATAAGCGTCTCTTCAAACTTTTGCTCTATAGTATACATTGCTTTCTTAAGCAATAGTTAACGTTAAACTCTGATGATAGTATTTCAGCGGTAACACTTAGAAGATCGATGCTAAATATTAAACAGATCAGAATCTCTAGTTAAAATTTTTTAAAAAAATAAAAATAAAAAGCAAATTCTTAGACACGAGATATCATTGACGTAGGCATATGATGTATCTGTCGCAGATATAAAGTACTCCGTATATTTTTTGGAAAGGCTCCTTACGACTAACACATGATAGGTGGCAGGGTGGATCAGCGGCTTGTGGTTTGGTCGCTAGGCCTCAAGGGTATAGCTGCGCTAAGGCTTTAAGCTCCCGACGGTGACGTCAAAGTCCAGAGTCGTGGGATACGCTATGTTAGGTAGTGGTACGCTTGGATAGCTGGGATAGGTAGGTATTTCCCGAAACATTCTTTCAGCACATCATCTTCCCGTTCCTGATCGCTGCAAGATAATCCATCTGTGAATCCATGCTTAGATATAAGCTACCCCTGCGAGACGAACCGACGCATGTAACGCTGGAGCTCGATTCGGCGATATTTCACATGTCAAACGTGGGGGGGCTTGTATTCACTATGTAATATTGACACATTCTCTTGAAATATCTTCCAATTTCATGAAATCCGTCTGGATACTCGATATAACCACACTCCATACCTATCTCACCATCAATATATAGAAATATTCATAAATCGTAGATAAATCTGTATTACGCCGTAACCATCGCTCTCAATATTCGTAGCTCTGTTCAATAACGTCGCCATCCAAACCCCCCAAACCGAAAGCCGCCGCCCTCCTCATATACTCGTAAAAGCCATAACGATATCAAATCAACTAGCAAACCAAGACATTACTCCTGCACTTAGTCGCCAAAGCACCCAGACCACAAAAAGCCCTATGGCACCTAATCCGAGCAAGACGGTGCGCTGCATCTCAAAAGCATCCGCCGTCTCCATCTTCATGAGCTTTTTCTGCTTCGTGTGATAATACCATCGTTCGTCATTCCCGGCGCTACTCGGTGCCGCATTCTGTTTCTTGCGGTCGACCCATCCGTACGGGTGCGGGCTAAACAGCAGCCGGTCCAGCCACGAGGGCAGCAGCCAAGTTGGCAATCGACTATATCGTTCGGAGTGCTCTTGGATGCGCTTGTCGTGGTAGTGGCAGTCGACGAGGTATAGCGACAGGAGGAACGTGACGAAATGGATGGGAGTCATGATAGTCTGTATTACCTAGGTACGTTATTAGTTGACGTCTGACAAAAACTAGTTACGGCCTCATAATATATATATAGTATAGTAACACATAACAAACTTCAAGTCCCACAAGCCAAGGTTACTGGACTTACCTGATAAAGGCTCGACTGTTTAGCCCCGCCAGTTTCAGTACGAGACATTGTCTTGGATTCCATGCTCGCTCATGCGATAACCCCGAAACAATAAAAATTTATACACGACGTTCGGAATTGGCACAATCCGATAAGATTATTTAAATAAGTGTTGAGTTAAATTTGGGAAAACGAGCAGTTTAATGATACTTTATCATCGGGACTCTTGGGACCCGCTCCGCATCTTCAAATGCGTGGGTAAGTACGAATTACGAGAATATCTACGTGAATTTCCATTGGATACGAGCTTGACGTGACCTGTCAGTGTTGGAAGGTTCCAATTTGATGTCTCAACTGATTGCCCCCTTCTCCCGCCCGACCCGCGCCGCTCCGGCTTGCGTCAGCGCGGGCGCTACATTAACACTAAAAGCAAAGCCACCAAGAATTCATAAGCCTTGCACTCATGCAACTGTTCCTAGCTAGCAAAGCCTCACGCTACCACAGACATCCTTTACATTAGTGTTTTTAATACCGAAATTTGTTCGGACGGGAAATTTATTCGGGAACCATGGTACTAAGCCAAGATTGCCTAGAAAGTCTAGATTTTGGGCATTCCCAAGCAAAATAAGCGTTAAGTAAGAAGTACATGTATATGCATGTTTCCTTTCCCCCCATATGCACATAACCTTCCCCAAGAATTCCAGTTTATCCGGCATCTCTTTAATACGAAGCATAATTATTTCCTTTGTTTTAACTATTTCTTCCTTTTTTTAACTTCTAGTGTTCGCAATGTTTAATACGAAGATATCAGTTGCTCCTATTTTAGTCAGCTCGTCCATTATCGGCGCAATCTTCTTCTTCTCGACCATAACGCTGACTGCAACCCAGCCATCCTCTTCCAAAGATGTTACTGTTGGTGCTCGTTTCCCTGGCGCAATCTTGGTTGCTGCCGCAAGTCCTGATCTCTCAACATTGTATTGACATAGGACGTATCGTTGAGCTGTGATGACGCCGCGGATTCGGGCAGCAATTAGGTCTACAAGAGCTGGATTGGAAGGCTTTTGTGACTTGATCAAGATGGCTGTCGACTCAACAACAGTATCAATTGGTTTAAGTCCCGCGGCCTTCATGGTTTCCCCAGATTCTGTCGGGGTTAGCATTAGACTTGAGGCTGAATACTAAATAATTTATGTAGGCAAACTTACCGACAAGGTCGATGATTCCGTCTGCTACACCAAGAGCGCAAGCTGCCTCGACACTACCGCTCAGTTCGATAATTTTCGTCTGTAGCTTCTTGGCAAATTGTACGGGAGCGCCATTTGCCTCCTTTGCCGCTTCTTCCTCCAATTCTAAGTTGGTAAAGTACTTCTGTGCCAAGTGGACAAAGCTTGTGCCGATATTCTTCCCAATTAGGTCTTTCGGGGAGTTATAGTTGCCTTTCTCAGGGACTTGGACCTGCAGCTTGCAGCCTCCGAACCCTAGATCCAAGACAGTTTCGATTCCGGATCCTTTTGAGTTTCGTTCGGTTTCTTCCTCTGGGGTGATCTCACCCGAAAACCGCCGTGCCTTGTACAGAGCGCGGAGACCGGCATCGTGTTCTTGCACTTGGTCATGTCCCGTTATTCCTAGGTCAACTTGGCCTTCGCCAACGAAGGTAGGTATGTCGGCTGCCGGGAGAAATATGAGAGCTAGAGGAAGATTCTTGACCAATGCTATGTCAAGTCTATTCTCTCGTCTGAACTGGATATCGGCACCCTCTAATAAATTGAGAGTGGCTTGGTTGAGTCGTCCCTCTTTCTAGTATGTTAGACCTATAGAATCTAACTGGCTTGTCCAAGACATAGTTGGAGAAGAAACTTACTCTTAGGAACGGCAAACAACAACCGGCCCTCCAGGCTAGTAACGATGGGCAGAGCGTTAGCCATAGTGACAGATAATGCTAGAGAGATTGAGGTCCTCCTGCCACTGGGAAGACAACTCGAAATGCTTGGGGGGGACGAACTGATTAACTAGATCCATGATTGCGTGATGAGTGGCGGCGGTATGGAATAAATTTAGAGATGCAGCTGTGAGGACCGCTGCGGAATCGTGCGGGCCCTTAAATTATGGATGGGCCAATTGAGGAGGTCTACGTCCACTCTATCTGCAGATTTAATGGTCTCGAGCTACGATGCTTCCGTGGCGTTTTTTCTAGCAGGTATATTCCCCTTACTTCAGTGAAAAAAACAACGAATAGCGCCTTTAAAATTGGTTAAAATCTAAATTCTATAACCCCACGTTCCTGAATCGGAGCTTCCACTTCGTTGTCATCTTACTAATGGCGGGGCATTGATTCGTACATGCATATGCAACAATTCAATTAACCGCCACAATCCTACCTTAAATATCAACGTGGCCTCCGTACGCGATGCCGGTAGGATGACGGGATTCTATACTGCATTAACCTCATAGTTTTAGGATACCATATTGCTGCAGTTATTTATATCGGAAACATCTTAGCGTGATACGCTCCATTTTACCTACCTACCTACCTATCTACCTACCTACCTATTTGGTGTTATAACAATTGAGCAGTGCTTCATTGACTTAAACCGATAGCACGTGAATTATTCAGATAAGAGAGCTACACAACCATGTATGGAACTTCAGTTCGTACCTAAGCGAACCAACATACCGGGACGCTTGCCGCGATCCGTGGTTGATCCCCCGATGGTAGGTACCTATGTATTCAACCCAGGCATCTTTATACGGTAGTATCAACTTGGCCTTGTTCGTGTAATTCTAAATTAAGTGAGCTTGATGCCGCTTAACCGCTGGATGAGTATATTACTTACATAATGTAGTACAAAGGCAGTTTCAAAAATGAACTTAACTACCTGTCGAAGTCCGAAATGATAAAAATTTGCCCTTCCTTTTTCAGTATCTTACATTGATGCTGTGCCTGGATAGAATCGCAAATCGATTATAATAAGAGTTATAATAATCGAAAAGGGGTTGCACCAAGAAAACAAGAAATCGTACCAGTTTTCTCCAACGTCAGCATTTCCCTTTTGCAAACCGTTTCACTACATTTCATAATACCAACGTACTTTTCTACCAACGAGAATCATCAAATCCTCGTGTTTCACAGGAATTGTACAGATTTCATTGTGGTGCCAAGCCACAGTGGATAGCCCTCAATGATCCACAAACATCCCTGTTCAATGACATTACGGTCTTGGCTCCTGCTAGTAATAACTATTAGCTAAACCTCCTAAACTTTACCTATGCATTCATCTCGCAACATTGAAGTCTCACGAGACAAGCCGAGAAAGCCAGCTTTCCTCCAAGCTTTTTTCTAATTCACCATGGTCGTAACAACGACTAGTTAACAATATAAATTACCCCTTAGTATCGATAATTTAGGAGCATTATTGGTCAAATTAGACGTGTACGAAACCTCGAATTCCGTAGCAATTCTAAAAAGTTGGCTTCAATATCAGCGTCGCGTATAGCTGACAGAGGGCTTTCAGCGCGAACTCGAGTACGACGAACGCCGGGCTCGTGGCCCTCACAAACGGAACAATATGCCAAGATGGTCAGGTCAACCCTCTATCAAGGGGAGTACTGAAGCAGTGCGTATGGCCTTGTTGACACTCAACACCATCGGCATTACGTACGTCGCAAATATCACACCTATAGGATGAGACGGTGGATGCTGACTTCACTGTTGCGCGTAGATTCGTTTGGGGTGTAGAGCAAACATGCAAGTTTCCCCAATGGCTTCAATATGAGACAAGGGCTAATGGCTCCTGCGTTTAGATTGTACCCCCTACCTCCTTTCTCTCGGATTGACGAAAAGTAAAACATCCTTGGTCTGGATCGCTGGGCCGCTCTCTGGACTTATCGTGCAGCCGATAGTCGGCGCGTTAGCAGACGAATCGACATCGAAATGGGGACGACGTAGACCGTTTATCGTGATTGGCGCTATACTCTCTTCTCTGTGTCTCCTCACTTTGGGTTTCACAAAGGAGATAGTAGGATACTTCGTTCCCGACGAAAAGGTGGCGCAAACCTTCACAATATCCGCCGCCGTGTTGTCGATATATGCAGTTGACTTTTCTATTAACGCCGGTTAGTACATGATACTTGCGCTTGGATGCGTTCTGCGTTGCTACGTGCTAACAATACTATTAGTAATGTCGGCGGCAAGGAGTCTCGTCGTTGACACACTTCCGATCGACAAGCAGCAAACGGGATCTGCTTGGGGTAAAGAACCATGATGCCCGTCTCATTAATACACACTAACTTTATCAACAGGTAGTAGAATGTCAGCCATTGGCCATGGAATTGCCTATGCGACCGGCGCTGTCGATTTGCCCTCACTCCTTGGAACATCCCTAGGCGATACCCAGTTCAAACAGCTGACTGTTATTGCCGCGCTGGGTCTTGTCTTGACGTGTGGAATTACTGCCTGGGCCGTAACAGAGAGGATTTTGATCGCTCCAAGGCATGATCCTCGTAGGAATGATGGGGGTTTTAAGGTTATCAGTCAAATCTGGTCGACTATTGTGAATCTGCCGCCTCGCATACGAGCAATCTGTATGGCGCAATTTTGGGCTTGGATTGGATGGTTCCCTTTTCTCTTCTACAGTACAACGTGGATAGGCGAGACCTACTTTCGATACGATACGCCGCATGATGCAAAAGACTCGGGGGATGCGCTTGGGGAGATAGGTAGAGTTGGAAGCGAGGCCTTTATTATCTATTCCGTCATCACCTTTTTCGGGTCATGGATTCTGCCAATGGTTATTAGATCACCAGATGATGAAAGTTATACCCGGCGCCCTCCCCAGAGTCTTCGGGGCGTCATGGAGAGATTCAATAAGTATAAGCCAGACCTTCTAACTGCGTGGATGTGCGCCCATGCAACCTTTGCAGGAGCAATGATCTTCGCACCATTTGCCCATAGCTTTAGGTTTGCGACTATCCTCGTTTGCCTATGCGGATTGTAAGTGTCTTGTATATTCCTAAGATGTCCTGACTTTAACATCTAATTCTTTATAGACCTTGGAATATAGCATCATGGGCGCCTTCGGCATTCCTCGGAGTCGAGGTCAATAAGCTTAGTGGCGCAACTGGGTCCTCCAACTCATCGTACCGTCGTCTGTCGCATGACTCAAACGTGGAGTTGGAGGACTTGAATGATCCGGCCAGCCCTTCCGTTCTCGATCCAGAGGGTTTGCACGCCACGTCGAAGTCGGGCTCATCCGGTCAGCTATCCGGTGTTTATTTCGGTATCCTGAACATCTATACAACGATCCCACAATTCATCGGCACAATTCTCAGCACTATCATCTTCAGTATCCTTGAACCAGGCAAGAGCCCCGAGTTGGCGCATAACGCACACCCAGATGAGCACCACAGTACCGACGGGCCAAATGCTATTTCCGTATGCTTGTTCATTGGGGCCTGTAGTGCAATGGTGGCTGTATTTGCCACTAGAAAACTTAAGTATTTGTAGTATTGCATGTTTTACTACTGGATTGCTAGAGAAGATATACGGGCGCCGGGGAGTAAAATCTTAATTGTATTAGAATTCATAATGGCCAAGGCGTGTGTTGTAAACTGAGATAGGCGAGGCGTTCGGGAAGTTTTAAGGCTAGGTATGGCCGCCGATATAGAATTGATTTGGATTTCGGGTAGTTATCGTCATGGGAATATTCACTATAAAATGTCTATGAGGAAGTGTGTTAAAGACATGTAATAATACCTACCTATAAAAAAGGTAGGTAGACTAAATGAATTATCTTAAGGCGAGCTTTCTAATGTGTTTTATTAGTAGATAATTAGTAACGTACTTGCGTATAAAATACCATTTAAATAGTTCCCCGATAAGAGATAGTGTAGACAATTACATAACAACCCCACTAGAATTTCTATCACTATTCGGTCCATTTTCTAAATCCTCAACAAGCCACCCTTCATATTCAACAAGTACCAATACCTGCTTTAACATACCCAAGTTCTCGGCTTTGTAAATAATACAATTTAAAATATGGTATTTCTCTCAAGCTCGCATAATCGCTCCCTCAATCCCATACTAACAACAACCACCCCAGGCCCCAGTCGTCCCCTCCAAGCGGCGCTCCCTCCGCCCCAAACTCGCCGCCCGCTCAGGACCAGAGCCATACGCGCCGCGCAAAGCACCGCGGCCCGACGCCGTGGGGACAAGCGACTCGTTCTCCAACTCGAAGAAAGACAAGCGGACCATCAAGCACGCGTCCTTCGTCTCGCGCATCGAAAAGGCGAACCAGAAAACGCCTAGACGCCGGCGGCCGAACAACAAGCTCGTGGCGAATCTCGACTCGCTGGCGGATGCTCTGCCGGACTTATTGGCGGACGGGGAGACGGAGGAGGGCCTGAGACAGATGAGGGAGGGCAAGATTAGACATCGGAGCTTGAAGAGTCGGCCTGGCGCGCTGAAGAGGAAGGAGAGGGTTGTCAAGGGCGAGGTGCAGAGGTTTGGGGTTAGTCTTGCAAGGCTGAGTGCTGTTGCGGAGAAGCAGATGGATGTGGAGCAGAGTAGTAGTACTGCTATGGGCGAGGATAGCGGCGTGGTTTCGCAGGGCCGGGATGCGAGTATGGCGCCGGTGTCGACGACGAATCGCTGGGCGGCGTTGCGAGGCTTTATCTCGGCGACTATGGAGCAGAATCCGGCGTTTGTAGAGAGGCAGGATGGGAAATGAAGGGGGTCGCAGTAACATCAGTGAATAATCACTCCAAGATGGTCGAGACGCGAGGGTATGGCTGATGTTGGGTAAGAACACCATCCATGTGTTATGTGTTTCTATCAACTTGCGCTAACATCACTCTTCGACAGTCACAAATCGAGGGAACAGTATACATGCCTCGCTGTTATATCCGCAGCAAGTTTGATATCCCTTATAGGACAACCAACGAGGGACTAGGGTTTATCTACCCGTCCCGGCCTCGTTAGTCCGTCTTGAGGGAATACTACTTACACCATTAGATTTGCCAGTTATGTGCCAATAAGGTGTACGCCGTACGAAACCCCACGAGGGTGTTTTACTATGGGGCGGCTGGTAGCACTTAGAGCGTTTGTGGACGTCCAGAAATAGTATCACTAAGACACCTGTTCTAGTTACGATGGCTTCATATTAATCTGGAGTTCGGAGTTGTGCTTATCATTGAGGTAGCTTCAACGGTATCTCGCCGAAATTTAATGACTGTGCCTGTTATATTCGCTGTCAACGCTTTCGAGAACCAAGTCTCTAGCTAGAAGAATATCAAATGTCACGCTATAATTCACTTTATCCTGGCCATCACGCATTGGTAGACTGTAAATACACGCTTTAACTGCTTAGTTATCAAATAATACATTTCTCATAATGGTATTTATCCACCCATCGATGCCAGAGAAAATTCAAACAAATCACAAATCGCTGTTTCCAAATCCCTCCCTGGTCCGTAGTATGCAGACATGAACAATGCAAGTAACCCTGATTCCGCATCCTTTATACTCCCCGCAAGTCCTAAAGGGCCTCGCTTCAAGTAGTACACAAGTCGCTATAAACGTGATTTCAGCAACACAGAATACACCAGGTGCAAGATGGACACGACTGTAGAAATACTTTTCGAAACAGCCGCGGTCAAGTGTCGTGCCTAGGGATGTCGAATAATAAATCACAAAACCACAAGGCTCGAGGGACGACACCTAGGCGGGCGAGGTGACAGTGTACTGATGGTATAAACCGGTGGTCGATCTGGTTAATCAACATACCCACCGAACTCTATTCGATTCGGGGTGGCGTATTGCTCGGTGTGAGACGCCTTCGCTCTCCCTCCTTGCGCAGATTCTCGATTATCTTAAGCATTTCCTTACGAGCTCCGATACTATCGATAGCTTTGTGGGCCATGCTCATGGAAATCTTCTCCCCGGCATTGACGGCCAGGAGACGCTTGACAAGTAGGTGTCGCATGACTATACAGACAAAGACACCACAATCGCTTCCATTTTCTTGCTGCGGCGAGTCGGGTAGATAATGGAATCGTAGGGATCTGCCGAGTACGCTGGATAATCGCTTAGATGCCTCCCAAGCTTCGGCGTTATTTGAACCGTCTAGCGAATCGTAGTGGAATGAAACGCCATCGATGATACTCACAAGGAGCAAGGACCAATGACTTCCACCTTCGGCTTGTGAGACGTTTCGGTTGTCGTTAATAGGGAGAAATATGTGCGTTATCTGTCGGAAGTCAGGTAAGGCGGATCGAACCATCTCGGTATCCTTATTCTTCATCAGGAGGAAAGTCATCGACGGTCGGAGGAGGACGATGTGTGCTTGGGGGTACTTCGAAAGCACTTCACGTTCCAGGAATTCTTCCCAGAAGGCAATGTTCTACAAGGGAAATTCGTCAGTAACCCTTAAAAATCAATTACATATTTCACGGCGGAAGCTTACGTTGTCGGTCAACCAGTCATTCTTAAGCGCCTTGATATCCTCGTACGTGACTAGGCATTGAGAGTTAGCATTGCCAAAAAAAGGTGAGAATAGGACCGAGAGGCATACGAAGAATGTCATGATCTAGAGAGTTTAGTCAGTACATAAAGGCGTAAAAGACGTAGATCGGATATAAATTCTCACAGGAAAGGTACGCCTGCGTGGGCGAAGGTGTGGGCGAAAACTGAGATCTTCTTGAGCGCAGTCTGCGGGAAGGACTTCTTCTGTAATGGGGGCTCACGCTGTCATTCAGCCGCCGAGTAAACTTATTGCGGAACGTCATTTGCAAGACCTGTGATTAATGTAGCCTCTCGGGGCAATATAATAGCTGTTCGTCTTCGTGCGATAAGTCAATGGGTAAGGTTGCTTGCTTGGTGGGTTGGTGCGAAATTCGGCGGTCGGCGAACGAGAATGCGCGTAGAGGATGTGGGGGCGATTAGGAACGATTCGATTCGATCCGCGAGTCGAGTTAGGGTAGGATAACGAAGGGAGAGAACGTGTCTCGTCGCGAATGGTTTAAGAGTAGGTTAAGTAGGGTTTGTGGTGACGCTATTCAAGTAAGGGTATTTTTTCTTGTTGAACAACGATGTTTCAATGTTTCAATGTCGATATTCCCACTTAGATGCCTTCGAATATACGTACTTGCGAACAAATCCGTTTAGCAATTACCAATAGGAACCTGTAGTAATTGCTAAATGCTAGACAAGATCAGAAATGACGGAAGCCGAGATTCAGGTAGTGCTGTGTGGTTCGAAACAGAGAAACAGGCTGCTAACAAAGAATGCGGGAGGAATTGCGGGTGGAATTACAACGATTATGTATATAACATAATAAAATTATTATTCAAAGTTAGGTAGCGTTTAATTCTGAAGAGGATCAACACAAAATACCACACTTTCTGATGCAAGTTGTGCTGCTGTAGGAAGTAGCTTAAATATTAGGATGCATGCAGGAGGTAGGTAGGTATGTATTGTAGGTAGGTTAGGAGGTTATTGTAGGTATTTTAGTAGAGTATGTAGAGGAAAAAATGGGTTGTAGGAGATGGGAAATGTCAAACTGCGGGGCGGCAGCCATGTACTTATATGTATTGTTCACTAGCCAATACTCATGCAGGTACCTAGCATCTATGCAGTATACTTACTTGAGGTAGACTTGCTCAAGTGTGTTGGGAACTTACTTCTGCGTACATTGACACAGCATAAACTTAAACGGTTAAAGGTCGTCTGACATCAAAGTCCTAACCTTGTCATAGGAGATAATCTTAACCTATTCTTCCTCATCGTCTTACCCTTCGTACATGTATGTAGGTACGAACATACATGATCCATAATCACCCACAAGTGGCACCTCGGTATCATATACACTACGTCCGATAGCCCTACATATCGCGGTCTAAATAAGCTAACAACGCAAGATGACGAACACTGGGAGAGGCTGAGCAAAACTTGCATCACTACCGGAAATACCTGACTTATTGCTTGGGCGCGAAAGCAACATAGTAATCGAGACATTTTAGCCAGCCAACCTAGCCAACCTAGCATACCGCTAAACGCCTTCGGACCCCAGCAAACGGAATATAAGATCCAGAACCGATTGCTCGAGCCGATCAGATGGAAAAACCTAGAACGCCCCACAGATGTCCATGGGGTTTATCTCGGTACGTATTGCTTCTGCCGCGTAGCACAACATCACCCCACATTTCAAGCATTCCTCCTTCAGGCCTATAGAAGCTTGGCATACGAAGCACTACTTTAGATATCTTCCTTTTTTTAACACTTCCCTGCTCCACTTGCCAACAGGGAATTGGTAACCTCTTACGATTCATGTTTGAAAAAGGCACGATTAATGAATCTCATACAGCATAAAGCATGAATTGAGAAGAGTATGTAGGTTGTCATGTGTCTCTCTTGTAAATACGTACCCAAAATGACAGTGCTAAATCCTAAATGTCTTTGATGTCTTAGGTATATAGGGATATAATCAAAAGGGAGATACAGACTAAACGCCCTAAAATTATAAAGTGAAACCAATTATAAGAGATAAAGTTAGGATTTCTTCTATTGATAACTCTTGGACGCGAAATATAACTGTTAAAGAACTTAACTAATAATATTAAACTCCGTATTGCATACCCCATACCTACTTAGGTAGCAAAATGACAAGTCCAGGGAGTATTAGTATGACTCGATTCGAAGGGGTATTCATAATAGACTTTGCCTTACATAAACTCGGTGCTCTCGTTTCTTTCGAGGCTATTCCATTAGTTTACACTATACACCTATAATCGCAACACTTAACTAGTAACCTGATTAACTTTCAATAATGGCAATAAAAAGTTATATCGGTTTATTATCGTAAAATAATATACATGACCAAGAGAATCATTACCCCTTTATTGAATTTCATAACATAATCGAGTTTGATATGTATTAAAAACCGAACATTAGGATACAGCCTCTATGTCACAGCTAAAGTTTACGATGTCGTGTATTTATATAAGGTTAAAAGAAGGTATATACTTAACTTATCAATGAGTTGTATATTTCTACGAAAGGAGGATCGAGTTAAGTTACTATCTTTAAGGTGATTGTTAAGGTATCATATAATTATAGTGTAGCCTAGTACCTGCGTGGTGTAGTGAAGACTCCCCGAGGCTACTAGAACACGAAAATAACATCAACTTGAGGAGTTACAGTCTCTTTCTCGGGAATCGGATGACTCAGATATGTCATTTTTGTGCTAAGCTATATAGGAACGGTAGTACTCAAACTCAAGACACAAGTACCCCTAGAATAAGGTTGCCGGACAAGACCATTAGGGGGCACGAGAATAGTACTGCTGCACAGGTAAGTTAACCTGACAGTTCACTACCAGACCACAAGTTTATTGTGTATGTATGTTCTAAGTTCCGATGCATAGAAGAGGGCTGTGTTTAATACGAAAGTTGAACATACGAGCTAGAACTTGGGATTATCTGAGGGCCATAGCCCCAGTAGTAAACTACTGATGTAACCATGGAGGCCTAAGGCTATACTTATGATAAGTTAGTATAGTTTCACAGAACAGGCAGTAGGTTACACCGGGCTACCTTCTTAATGGGTTGTTGGGATTGTGTGTTCGCCGGCGACTGACTGACTCACTTGCATCATAAACCTTGCCTTTGGTATTACATAGGGTTGGGGACTGGGGGCGGTTCTGCCAAATACGTGTTGGCAAGACCCGAGGCTGGCTGCGCACAGGGAATTTACACCGTGTTGTACCAATAACTGTATTTATTGGACAAGGAATATGTACATGGAAAATACTGTTGGTCGGATCTATCCTCATGGATTTGATCTCTGCCTTATATAATTCCCACTCGTCTTGCGACTGGAAGTCTTTAATTTTTAATACCCCAAATGATACGAACAACCAGTGTGCTATTGTGGTGCTGGATATTCGCGCGTATGCCTTTACATGAGCAATCTCCAAGCACCAAGCAACAATGCCGCAAAACCCGTACAGACACCCATCAACCACTGGAGCGTCTGGAACTTGACTTGCTCTAGCTTTTCTCTTAAGGCAGCAACTTCTTGCTCGATCTTAGTCTCCGTCTCTTTAATCTTCAACTCTTGGCTTACAGCCTCTTCTCGTATCCGACCCTTTTCCAGGTTCAAATCTAGCCGCACTGACGCCTGCGTTCGACCGATCTCATCTCGCAGACGGTTATTCAACTTGGTGATATCGTTCGTTAGTCGCTCGTGGGCAGCGCGGGTTGTGTTCGACTCGGTGCTGTCTGCGGAGAGAAGCTCGGAGCGAAGCTTTGCAAAGTCTACCTTTTGCGTGTATGTTGCTTTGGCAGCATCTTCGCGCAATACCATCGTCCGAGTTAGGTTTTGTATGCTAGCTGGCGTGTTAGCGGCGGCAGCTAACCAAGAACATTTATTAATGCTTGCCTCTCCTGGATCACATCGTTCAAAACCTTCATCATTGCAACAGATTGCTCTTCTGTGAAGCCATCGCTCTGTAGTCGTTGGACAAATTTCAGGGTATCAAAGTGGTGGTCTCTGCCCCGCGGCGCTGTAGCATGGAATGATCTTCGTAAATCCGGATTCTGAAGTAGAATAGATGGTCTCGTCCTTGCATTACCCGATATATACTGAGGTTTCTCTCGAAGTGAGTGGAACGAGGCTGTCCCATACCCTTGCCATGACCGTCGGTTCTCTGCGGGTAGAGTCGCAGCTCGCAATACTTGCGAAGACCCAGTAGATCCTATCCAGCTCAGTCGAGGGAGTAGAAATCTCGGGAGTGTTTGGGCTGCATTCGCCGTGACTCCCGCCATGTCATATACTGAAATATGCTAATCCTAGAGGTAAAAATATCTTGATCTGAATAGGTTGTGTGAAAGCTACCCAAATAAAGTGGGATATGCGATGAACGAACAAGCTTGGAGTTCGCGATATTCGGAGCTTCTGATGCGGATGTACCTATGTACCTAATTATAGTCTATAGGTACGGACCCACCTAAATGGGCTGATAAGTGGCTTATCGACTAGGGTGGAGTGGCTGAGCTACTACAAATTTTGAAGAATTTCTGCGATGGGGAAAATTTCTTCTTTTTTCTTCATTCAAAAATGAACAACGCAAAAAATCACATTCTCGAGACACGATATTTGGTGCGAGGTTTCCTCTCTTTTGCAGTGGCCCACGACCACTGAAGTTCTCGGACAGAATGGAGACTAACTCCCAACGAACAATCTTGGGTGCGGTGCTTCCCATCCTTTCGGGGATGATGGGGAGGATCGCAATGATTGAACGTACATGCATATCATTTAATGTTTGTGTAGACGTGTAAGTATTGATAGGTGAAGTTGATCATTCTTGTTGATTATATGTAAATAGAGCTTAGTGCTCACGATGCCCTATGATAGCCGCTGGAGTAGCACGTCTTTAGAGGTTGTTGAAGGGCTGTAGTATTTCTGTCTCTATGAATTGATATGTGACGATTATAGAAGGAGATATTTAACATATCCTACAACTTAGGCCTGAAACTGAACTGGATCATTCACTCATGCTTCAGTTGACTATTTCATAGCTTTGGTACTTTAAGAGTTCCCGGGACCATTTCAAATGCCAATCGAAGCGGAAGCGTACTTGGATTTATTGAATTATCGACTAGCATAACTTAGTGTTGCCTGCGGAAAATCGGGTTTCGACATTTAGAATTGATATAGGTGTTGTTAGTTCTCCATAGTAAAGTCTCACTTGCTTGCTAGGACCTTGTGTAAACCAATGATGAGTCTCCTTATATGAATGCCTGTTATAGGATATCTAAAGGCTATATAATGTATCCAGGTAACTTACTTAAAGGTATCCGTATAGAGGTACTGTAGCTTTGCGGCAAGTATTGAGACACTGGATGACCAAAGCAATGTGATTGATACCTCCAAAGCCTAAGGTTTTGATATAAATGATTTCAAGCAAACGGAAAGTGGTACTAGGATGACGATGTATCGTACTTACCTGAATAGCAATTTAATTCTTGCCTGGAGCTGCACCTACCCTGGCAATCGGTACGTAACGGCATAGCTGAATGTACGTGGCTCGTGCACGACGTCAGGTACATGACTGGCAGCCTCAGGTGCTCCTTCCGAACAAGTATCCCGTAACATTTGGAAAGGGATCACCATATTTCGTACACACGTCCACTTTCCTCCTAGAAATTCTTACTACCTACCACTGATTAACCAACCTGCACCTTCTCTACTCCATCCACATTTGTACAATACTTGACCTCATCACCGTGCCTACTTAAACGACGTCCCCATTGACGCCTGCACGCGTGTTTTCCTCTACTTACTCTCTTCCCCTACATAATCAATCCCTGGAGGTCTCTTCTGCTAATTTAGCACCTTAATACCTTCCTTTCCACCCCTTTCCTGTACACATTTACCTAGCCTCAGCTCATTCACGATCGCGTTCCTCGGACACAATCGTTATTGGGCTGAACTGGGCGCACTGTTTATGGGATAGCTACCCAGTTTTCGACAATCTCTATTTCGATACTGCGTTTGCGCTTTACCATCGCCGTCTTGACCAACCCATGTGATCTGGAATCATGGCTCCGTTACCTATTAAGTTCCAGGAGCTGTTGACGCTCGCCAATGTCGGCGTTGATCAGAGCGCCGTTGGGTTCAACTCCTGCGTAAGCAATCCCTCATTGTTGTTAACGTTCCAAAGCTTCAAGTCTAACATTCGTTACATTAGACCTTAGAATCCGATGCCTTCATCTGCATAAGAGAAAAGAAGAGCGAGACAGCGCAACCCGAAGTCGTCATTATTGATCTTAAGCAAGGGAACAGTGTCACACGCCGACCCATCAAGGCCGACAGTGCTATCATGCACTGGTCGAAGCAGATCATCGCCCTCCGAGCACAATCGAGAACACTACAGATTTTCGACCTAGAGAAGAAAGCAAAGCTAAAGTCTGCTACGATGAACGAAGATGTCGTCTTCTGGAAGTGGGTTAGCGAGTCTACCCTAGGTTTGGTCACGGAGACCTCAGTGTTTCACTGGGATATCTATGATAACACTCAAGCTGCTCCTGTTGAAGTTTTTAAGCGCAATGCCAACTTGAACGTATGTTGGCCTTATTACTTTTACTAATTATCTTTGAGGAGCTTACTAGCTAACTACTATCGAATTAGGGCTGTCAAATTATAAACTATCGAACTAACAGTGACGGCAAGTGGATGGCCGTTGTTGGTATTTCTCAGCAATCAGGTCGTGTAGTCGGCAGTTTACAACTGTACTCCAAGGATAGAGGTATCAGCCAAGCGATCGAAGGTCACGCAGCCACATTTGGTACCCTTAGGATAGAAGGCGAGCCCGCAGATACCAAGGTCTTCTCTTTCGCAGTTCGTACCGCTACGGGCGCTAAGCTGCATATCGTTGAGATCGATCACCCCGAAGGCAACAAGCCCTTCCAGAAGAAGGCTGTCGACATCTTCTTCCCTCCCGAAGCCACGAACGATTTCCCTGTTGCTATGCAAGTTTCCCAGAAATACGGCATTGTTTACATGGTAACAAAGTACGGATTCATCCACCTCTATGATTTGGAGACTGGTAGCACCATCTTCATGAATCGAATTTCGAGCGAGACTATCTTTACGACTTGTGCCGATTCCGACTCGACTGGTATTCTTGGTATCAACAGGAAGGGTCAAGTCCTCTTCGTGTCAGTTGACGAAACAACTATGGTTGACTATCTCCTTCAAAACCCGGCAAACACTGAGATTGCGGTCAAGATGGCTTCTCGAGCTGGACTTCCTGGTGCAGATCAGCTCTATGTACGCCAGTTTGACCAGCTGTTCAACTCGGGCGATTACGATGGTGCTGCAAGGGTTGCGGCCAACTCTCCTCGGGGCTTCTTACGAACTACGGAAACAATCAACAAATTCAAGAACCTCCCTGCGCCTCCGGGCAAAATGTCCTATATCCTTCAATACTTCGGAATGCTTCTTGACAAGACTACCCCCTTGAACAAGACTGAGACTCTTGAACTTGCTGTGCCTGTCCTATCGCAAAATCGCAAGCATCTCCTCGAGAAGTGGGCGAAGGAAGGCAAGCTGGACTTTTCTGAGGAGCTCGGTGACTTAGTTCGACCACATGATGTCAATTTGGCTTTGGCAGTCTACCTAAAAGCTAATGCTCCTCACAAAGTTGTTGCCTCATTTGCTGAACTAGGCCAGTTCGACAAGATCCTGCCTTACTGTGATCAGACTGGTTACCAGCCGGACTGGATTACTCTGCTGCAGCATATCGTTCGTGTTAACCCAGAACGTGGTGCAGAATTCGCAACCTCCCTAGCCAGTCACCAAGGTGGATCGTTGATTGATATCGAGCGTGTGGTCGATGTCTTCCAATCACAAGGCATGGTTCAGCAAGCTACAGCATTCTTGCTCGAGGCGCTCAAGGAGAACAAGCCGGAGCATGGCCACTTGCAAACCAGGCTTCTTGAGATGAACTTGATGAACGCACCTCAGGTAGCAGATGCGATCTTGGGCAACAACCTATTCTCGCATTTCGACAAGGCTCGCATTGGAAGTTTGTGTGAGCAGACCGGATTGTATCAAAAGGCGTTGGAGCTCTATGAGGACCCGGCGGCTATCAAGCGAGTCATCGTCGGTATTCCCGGTACTCCGAACTTTAATGCAGACTGGCTGGTCAACTATTTTGGCCAGCTTTCAGTAGAGCAGTCCTTGGAATGCCTCGACGCCATGATGAAGGCCAATATCCGCCAAAATCTTCAATCGGTTGTCCAAATTGCGACCAAATATTCTGAACTCCTTGGTCCTACTAACTTGATTGACCTCTTTGAGAAATACAAGACCCATGAAGGTCTCTTCTTCTATCTCGGAAGCATCGTCAATCTCTCTCAAGACCCAGATGTCCACTTCAAGTATATTGAAGCAGCCACCAAGATGGGCCAGTTCAATGAAGTCGAGAGAATTTGCCGAGACAGCAATTTCTACAACCCAGAAAAGGTCAAGAACTTCCTCAAAGAGGCGAAGCTTGCTGAGATGCTCCCGTTGATTATTGTCTGCGATAAACACAATTTCGTCCATGACTTAATCCTCTACTTGTATCAGAACCAGCGATTCAACGCAATTGAGGTTTACGTGCAGCGTGTCAACCCGGGCAGGACCCCCGAAGTCATTGGTGGCCTGCTTGACGTTGACTGTGACGAGTCTGTGATCAAGAATCTCCTCACCACTATCAACCCTGCGTCGATTCCCATTGATGCGCTAGTGCAGGAGGTAGAAACCCGTAACCGTCTAAAGCTATTGTTGCCATTCCTAGAGGCTACTTTGGCCGCTGGCAATCAACAACAGGCAGTTTTCAATGCTCTTGCCAAGATCTATATCGACTCCAACAACAACCCGGAGAAATTCCTCAAGGAGAACGACCAGTACGATACCTTGAGTGTTGGTAAATACTGCGAGAAGCGAGACCCGAACTTGGCGTTCATCGCGTATCAGAAAGGCCAGAACGATTTGGAATTGATCAACATCACAAACGAAAACTCCATGTATCGTGCCCAAGCTCGCTACGTCTTGGAACGCTCTGATCGTGAGCTATGGACATTTGTCTTGAGCGAAAACAACATTCATCGTAGGTCAGTTATTGACCAGGTTGTTGCGACGGCTGTCCCTGAATGTAGCGACCCTGCAAAGGTTTCTGAGGCTGTCGCATCATTTTTGGCATCTGACCTCCCGGGCGAGCTTATTGAACTCCTAGAGAAGATAGTCTTGGAGCCTTCGCCCTTTAACGACAACCCAA